TTCTCTTGTGAGAAGTCTGGCTCACCCAGGACATTCACATAATCGCACACGTTTAAGCACACGTTTAAGCAGTCACTGAACATCGTGGAGAGCCCACTGAGATGCCGAGCGGCTGCAGTGAAGGCGTGATACTCTGCGCGCTGAGGAGTTTGGGGATAGGGAGGCCAGACGGGACCCCTGATGCGAATAACCCCCTCGTGTGTCCGACGACCCAGCAGAGTGGCAGCCCAGCGCGCCCGGGACAACTCAGGGATGACATGGTTGAAGCAGGACCCGTCCGCGAAGATTTCACCAGACAGCGAGGTTTCGAAGTCCAGGTGCTCGAAGCCTGGGCATAACTCGGCAACAATTCCATCGACATAAATAGGCTGAGGAAGTTCTTGTTTTTCACCTGGATGCTCGAAAACTCCAAAGGCAGCTGGAGCATCGCCGACTGTCTCAGCCCACTCGCGCACCTTAGAAGGAATGAGGGGGGCACGAGCCTCCTCGCATGCAGAACATTTTCATGACCTGTGCCTAGGTGCGTCGTCGGCTTCCCCACGCAGATCGCAAGTGATCGGGACCTTGCACCCTAACCCTCGAGCGCGAGATCGGGTGTAAACCGCATGGCAGAACAACGATCGGATGCACCCCTTCTCGAACGGAGTCATCTTCTTGCTGCGAAGCCAAGACAAGATACCGTCACCACAGGCGCGGCCAACGTTGAGCCTGACCCCAAGATCCCACTCGAGCGTTTTAGTGACCGTCCGCTTCAAAAGGAGTCTAACCATGGCAGGCGAGACTTCCGTCGAATGAATATCTATGCCGCGATCGTTGCGGGGCACAATGAAACAGGCCATGGGCCACGATATTCTCTCAAGAGACTTCCTCATCGCACTGATCGGGCCCGACACGGGCCTCCACAACCCAGAGCCCCTGGAGAACGCAGCGCCCCAAGCCGAACGAAGCGTGGCGAACGAGGTGGAACAAGGGTAACGCCTGTGGTGCGTGATCCAGACTTCCCTGGCCCATCTCGCGATCGGGGCCACAGCAGCACTCCAAGTGGGGTCGCCGTGGCACAGGGGGAGCGCGATCAAACCCCTTCCTTGCGCCGACGGCTTCATGGCCATGCCTGCAAGCCGCCGCAGCTGCAGGTGTTCAAAGTACGACATACCGAAAATGTCGCAGCCGTAGGTGGCACCTGGAAGAGGGGGCCAGCCGAAAAACAATTCTTGCACCGCTGCCCAACAATGGTGGGTCGAAGCCTCACAAGACGCGCAGTGCGGTCCTTAGCCTTTTTTTCATGCGCTGCTTGGCCTTCGACGACCTGCCGCGGCACCGACGCGGCCTGCCAGCTGCGTCGTCGACGCCCAAGTTCGTGGCCGAGGACGCGTCCACCACGGGCCCCGCAAGACCCCCAAAGGCCCTAGTCAGGCCCTTGCCAAGAGAACGATTCGAGCAGACCAGCGCCAACTTTTCAGGGCTGACCTGGGCCCCCACCCCTTCCACAAAGCCGCGTGCAGAGCACGCGCAGCAGGCGGGAGGTGGATGAGGATGAATATGGACGTGCCGATGGCCGAAAGCCCTGAGTCATCAATAAAAATCTTTAGCTGGATCTGACGAGGAAGCTTCAAAGGGTCGAGGGACAAAATGGAGTCCACCCGAATGAAAATCGCAGCGATGGAACAGCCAACACGGGAGAAGCATCCTATCAAACCCAAGAACCGTCAGAATCGACGGCGTGGACTCACCAAGAAAAATTAAAGGGGGGTCGCAAAACTGACGGAAACACCTCCCTCACCACTAAGAGAGGGTCACGAAAAACTGACGACCGCCACCTGGGGAACTGCGGGGATCTTGCAGCGAAGAGGAGGGGCTGCGAATCCTGACGACGGCGCGGCCGCACGACCCGTTAGTCCACTTTGCCGCAAATGAACTGACGACGGCGCGGCCAGAAAACCCCTAAGCCGGTTTTTATTGGAGTCGCGCTGGTGATGAACAGCCCGCAATGACCCCGCACCACGCCCAATAGGGGCCGTCGACGAGGCCTCCGCGAGAGAGAAACCTAGCCTGGGAGTGTATGGCAATACGCAGGTACGCCAGTCCGAGGAGGAAGTTCGTGACATGACATCTGTAGGCCAATAGCTTCAAATCTAGAAGCTCGTAGTATGTGTAAAGATCGGTGAGAAGGGTGGCGGCTTCGTCCCCTGCCGAGGTGCTGTCTTCGGCCGCGAGCGCTTGCCTCCAAACAACGCCTTGGGCACCTTCAAAGGCACCAGCGCAAAAGTAGGGCTCATGTGCTCCCGCTCCCACGCATCAACCAATTCCCTTCTGAGTCTACCGTAAACGCGGAACACAGCACAACAAAACCCGATGGGCCGAAACAACCCTAGGGGCTTGGCCAACAAGGCCTTGATCACAACAGACAGCTGCATGGGGACGAGGGCCGCACGCTCCATGATGGCCAGAATGTCGCACAGAGCCTGAAGCAGATCATCACCAAACAGACAGAAGTGTTTCAGATGGAACCCGCCGACCGAAACAGCAGTGTTTTCTTTGAACTGTCTGGACACGTCTCGAACCTGGTCGGGGATGATGGGCGGCAGGTGTGGGCTCGCCACCCCATGCGGGAACCAGGGGGCCTCCGAGGCAGCCCCCCACAACTGAGAAAACTTGTCGTTCTCAGCTCGGAGCAGTGAGAGCGGGTCGGCCACAATGACACCATCAGACGACAGCGTCGTCGTGGGCGTCCAAGGAGTGGCTCCCTTGGAAACCATGTGGATGCGCTTAGCACCCTTGTCAGCACGGTAGAGCAGCCAATCACGCCAATCCTTGGACGACTCACGGCGAGCCTCAGCTTAAACATCTTTCAACTTTACCTTAAAGATGGCCATGAGGCCGAGGAACTGGTCGTACAGAAATCCACCAGCTTCGCAGAGCCCAGCACCAGGATCCTGCCTTCGAAGGTGCGCAACCCACGAGTCAAGACATTGGAGGAGGCCTGAGTGGAAGGAGGATCCATTGGCGGCCAGGATCCTGGCTAAGGCCGCGGCTGGCTCAGCAAGTGAACCACGAAGCCTAAGCAGCGCAGCGACAGTAGCAGGCGCATCTCTGCGCCCGTGGGCCCAATCGTCCCACAAACCTTGCAGCGAGCGGAAAAAGTTGTGCAGCCAGCGGTAGAGGTACAGAGTGGGCTGCTTGGGCACCTGGGTGTCCTTGTCAAGGATGCTTTTCCAGACTAGCCTAGGGCCCCGACCCCTAGCACCCCTAAAGGGCACCTCGGCCCCCGTGACCGAAAGGAGAGCCCTTTCGGCCGCGTCCGCCCACTGGCGGTACAGTTTATCGAGCGCGTCCTGCGTGGCGACGAAGTCCCCCGCGTCGGCAGACAGAAACGCTTGGGCACAGAGCCGAGAAAAACCATCCCCCAGGCCCGAAAAGGGGGCCAGCGAACAAATGGGAGGAAGGGGCTTATGGGGAATGGGGGGTGGTTTGCTAAACCCCAAAGCCTTGATATTCGATAGGCGAGGATGAAACTGGACCTGCGCAGGGAAGTGCGGAGAAAGATCGCTATCCCGAATGACTTGAACTCCCGAAACGCCCTTGCACAGGCCGGCGCTCACACATAAGTAATCGTAAGTCTTAACTCCTCCAGTGCCAGTACAAGTGTGGCCATCAGGAACAATCCACTGCCCATTGGTGCGACCGTCGAGGTCTGTTTCCACGATTTGAGAAGGGTCCATGTTGAAATCACCCCCCAGGATCACAGGATATCCAAGGGTCCCACGAGGGCACCACAAGCGCCCATGATCGAGAGGCTGTTGTCGGACAGCCCCTACACGTCGTGGAGGTAAATACGAATACATTATCCCAGTGCGACCCTACCTAGGAGTTGGAGCATTGAGGAAAGCATCATCTACATCTACACCGACAGCTACATTTACATCTACACCTGCATCTACATCTACATCAACATCAACAGCGAGACTCGCATCTATGCTATGCTGTGCTATGCTATGCAGTGCTATGATATGCTATGCTATGCTGCGCTGTGCTATGCTGCGCTATGCTGTGATATGCTATGCTATGCTATGATATGATGAGCTATGCTTGCTATGCTATGCTATGCTTGGCTATGCTCTGCTATGCTATGCTATGCTGTGCCAATGCTGCGCTGCGCTATGCTGCGCTGCGCTGCGCTAAGGTAAGCTAAGCTAAGCTATGCTGAGCTAAGCGAAGCTAAGCTAGACTAGGCTAAGCTAAGCTAAGCCAAGCTAAGCTCAGCTAAGCTAAGCTAAGATAAGCTAAGCTAGGCTAAGCTAAGATGAGATAAGCTAAGCTAAGCTAAGCTAAGCTAAGCTAGGTTAGGCAAAGCTAAGCTAAGCTAGGCTAAGCTAAGCTAAGCTACGATGAGATAAGCGAAGCTAAGCTAAGCTAAGCATAGCTTAGCTAAGCTAGGCTGGGTGAACCCAAGGGGCGCAACTGGGGGAACCGCGGGGCGGATGCCGGTGGAACCGCCCGGGGCGGTTTACACTGCCCGGCCCTTTTAAGCATACACAGTAAGAACCCTTCTAGGCAGAGCCTAGGTAGGGAACAATGTTCTTAGAACATAAACCCTACGTGTTAAAACAAGACGGTCCCAACCAGAAATGTTCAACTACCACAGGTTAGAGTCAGACGTGGTCTACAGCAAGGTGGAGAAGCGCCTCCACCACCACCAGCAGGGAACCCTGCCGCTCGACCACGACTACCAGACTGGTCACGGTTTGATGCACAAATCAGTTTACAAAACAACGCTAAGCTAAGGGAACGTCACTGGGGGAACCGCGGGGCGGATGCCGGGGGAACCGCCCGGGGCGGTTTACACTGCCCGGCCCTTTAAGCAAACCGAGTAAGAACCCTTCTAGGCAGAGCCTAGGTAGGGAATAAAACCTGGAGTTGGTCGGGAGGAGGGGGAGGAGGAGGAAGACGAGGAGGAGGAGGAGGAGGAGGAGGAGAAGGAGGAGGAGGAGGGGGAGGAGGACGAGGAGGAGGAGGAGGAGGAGGAGGATGAGGAGGAGGAGGAACACTCATACAGAGGCACGACCGCCCGCACCGCAGCGCCTGAAGACAACGCTCAAGGCGGCAACTGTGAGCGAATGTCAGCGCGCTACGCGGACCGCGGTGCACCGCAGCCGGAGAATGGCGCGCGGCCCCGCGACATGCAAGTCTGGACAGCACCGCTCACCGCCATCAGCTCTCGCGGTGGACGTTCGCACCTGCGGCATTGATGGGCGAGGAGAGACGCAACGGACAATGCTGCTCCATATCGCAAGAAAGCGAGGAGGGAAACATGTCTGGAAAGCGAGGAGGGAAACATGTCTGGATGAAGAAGGCAATGACGGAGTGAGAATAAAGACAGATCGTTGACACGTCCTGCTGTAAAATTCAGTCTTCGCCGATGTGGGCCAAGCAACGCGATCCCAACCATTTGATTTGGGTACGATGCCACGCCAGATACTATGATTGCCCCACATAACGATGCTTATTTTCGGTGGTTTGGGTGTTGGTGCGAACTTCTCGGCTTCAACAAGCCAAGTCCATGTGGAATGTGGCACCACATGCATGGATGCGCGACGACTTGGTTTCCATTGCAAACTGCGTGATCAAACACCTGTCTCGAAAGATCAGTAGAGCTACCGCACGTCAAAATGTTGCACCACTTTAGAGGGGGGCCCAAATGGGTTCTTGAACACCCCGTCCCCCCCTCCCCACATCTAATATTGGGGGCATGCGATGAGGAGTCGCTGGGGGGTTCCCAGGCGATCGACAACATGTTACACCACCGAGCTGTTTTGGCGACCCCCGGACCGTAGCCAATATTAGATCGGGGGTGGAGGGGGGATGAGATGGAAGCGTCGATTTGAAAACGATGTCCGCTGTTTTCGGCACCAGGTGGTGCAACAGTTTGCCGATGTCTCGTATGATGTCCGCCTGGACATCATTGAGCATAGCCCGACCTGGGGGCGGGAGGTCGGAACGTGTGACCTGCGTAATCGGCGCGCCTTCATTTTCACTTACCCGTCGCCGTTCTCACGCGATGTCCACGCACCCTGTGGCCCGCATGCGTCCCTCAAGGGATTCACACAGTAGACGCCAAAGATGCAGTATAGCGGCCTTGACTTTATCGACCAGTGGGATGCCAAGCTGGCGAGGCCGAGCACGTGTCATGCCACAGGCCACAGGTCTCGACCAAAGCAATGTTTTCCCAACCATCCTGTGGTGTTGGGTCCTCGTTTTGAACAGACAGCGACCTCGTCCTTCCTCCCGCTGCCCCCCCTCCCTCTCCCCATCATCAGCATCCCCTATCATCAGCATCACCATTACCATCATCATCGTCATCATCAGCATCATCACCATCATCATCATTTCGGCACACCCCTCACGCAGTTCGTGGCCGTATAGGGAGCTCCACCGAAGGCCCCAGTGGCTGCGTTCGCATGCGTCACCGCCACCCATTACGCCACACCCCTCACACGGTTCGTGACCCCATAGGGAGCTCCACCGAAGGCCCCAGTGGGTGCGGCTGCATGCGTCACCGCCACCCATTACGGCACACCCCTCACACGGTTCGTGGCCCCATAGGGAGCTCCACCGAAAGCCCCAATGGGTGCGGTTGCATGCGTCACCGCGACCCATTACGGCACACCCCTCACACGCTTCGTGGCCCCATAGGGAGCTCCACCGAAGGCCCCAATGGGTGCGGTTGCATGCGTCACCGCCACCCACTACGGCACACCCCTCACACGGTTCGTGGCCCCATAGGGAGCTCCACCGAAGGCCCCAATGGCTGCGTTCGCATGCGTCACCGCCACCCACTACGGCAGACCCCTCACACGGTTCGTGGCCCCATAGGGAGGTCCACCGAGGGCCCCAGTGGGTGCGGTTGCATGCGTCACCGCCACCCATTACGGCACACCCCTCACACGGTTCGTGGCCCCATAGGGAGCTCCACCGAAGGCCCCAATGGGTGCGGTTGCATGCGTCACCGCCACCCATTACGGCACACCCTTCACACGGTTAGTTGCCCCATGTATCGCACTTGCGGTACCCACAACTGCATATGGTTCGGTCCTTCGCCAGGCTAATTCGTTTTCGTTTTGTTTTCGTTTCCCTCGTTTTTTCTTCGTTACGCCTCTGCTGCAAAACGACATCAAAACGAAAACGGTCCACGAAATTGCCAAAACACCGTTTGGTCGAGCCCTGTCATACAATCTTGCAGCTCAAGCGCTCTTCAAATTGACGTTGAGGCGGCGCGACGAAGACCCAAGCCACGCAGTAGTAACCGCAGTACAGGCACAAGTGCCAGATCTTCGCTGACTGGCTCAAGAAACGCTTGAGCTCTGGGATGGCCACTGTGAAGGTCCATCTTCACGATTCACTCGCTGACTTTGCGCCTGCACCTAACGGGTGATCGCAACATCCTGTGCCCGGCGAAGCCACGTGGGGCTTCCCTGCGAACGCGATCTCGCGACCCTGCCCTCTATTTGTTCAGAGCTCGGTGGAAAAAAGAGAAGCAGAGACTAGAAGGAGAAAATGCGGCGCTGACAGCAAAGGTAGCATGTAGCGATAGGGAAAGCAGCGCGCCCGCTTACCAGGCCAAGCCTGGGGCAGCAACTCCAGCACGCTTCAAAGTAAAATGAAAACTCAAGGTCGCAGCACTGGAATTATTAAAATCGGAGCGCACGCTTTTCGGAAGCAGCCAAATCAACATGCTTAGATATAACAGACTGAACAAACGCGATGCCCCACTGTCCGTTTCAAGGACAGACCGGAAGTCGGATCTAGAACATAATATGCTGCCTTCAGGCTGTGAATTAGCTGAACGGCTTCACGGCCAGCCGTTGAGGATACTGCAACTGCATGCGGACTGCTGGGGTATAGCATGGTCAAGGCAGAACCAAGAGGTTGCAGGATGCTTGCCATGCGCTCCTACCAACATGCACGCAGAACAATCCAACCGAATGGGCATGTACCCATCCTGTGCTTGCCGAGAACATTCGCACTGCCCCTCTGCCGTGCTCGTACCCATCGCGGCGATCGGTGCCTCTGTTGTCGCATGCAGCACTCCTCCTCGGTCCGCCTAAACTATCCTCAATCATCCATCGTTCTCCCAAATGGCAGCGGATTCGCAAATGTCGCGCTAACTGTAAGTGCCGTGTCGAAAAAATGGCTCAACGGAGCCGATCGATCAATGAAAATCGCTGTCGCTAGCCAGGGCGAAACACAATCGGCTCGTGGTGATATTCACTCACATACCTGCACACAGCATGCTGGCCACAATTCTTACGTAGTCGTGCCAACTGGCAAGGGATCTGAGACGCGCACGAGGCCGACGCGGAGACGATGGCAGAATGTGAAGTCCGCGGGGGTGGGAGGTAGGCGAGCGAGACGATGCCATGGGCTTCATCGGTCTCCATGCTGTTCAGGCCCCCACTGCCGGACTAGATTGCCAACGCTGGTGGATTAACTCAAAGAGAGAGTGCTCGAGCTCTTCTGATGTCGTCCTGCTGTGAAGGTCCTCTTCCCATGCCGAAGCTAAAATGCTCGCAATTTGTGGTTTGGCTGCGCCACATTCGGGTAATAAGTTGAGATTCGGCCGTAAGCCAGCACAGACCTTCAATACTAGTATATGGCTTGGGATGTTCAGGTCGCTGAACGGGAGGCTAGCTGTCAACACCTCGTGCATCATCACACTGCATGAGTATACATCTGAGAGGGGCTCGTGTGAGGCTCGCAGGATCACTTCTGGTGCCGTGTAGCGCAGGATGCCGAGGGAGAGGCTGGACTCGTTGTCCTCAGGAGCCAGGAAGCGGGCCAGGCCTAGGTCGCCCAGGATCACCTGCGGCATGATGATGCCCTCAGGCCCTCGGCTCACGGGGCGCGAGAGAAAGATGTTGTTGGGCCTCACGGCAGAGTGGACGATGTCCTTCCCGTGCAAATACGCCACGCCGGAGACAGCTTGAGCAACCGCCCGCAGGCGCTGATCCACACTGAACTCGCTGGCGCTCGTGCTGCTGGCCTCGTGGAGCAGCGTGTGCAGAGAGCCGCCCTGGCACAGCTCGAGCACGAGGCACAAAGGGCTGAGCGAGAGGACGTGCAACAAGCGGATCAGGTTCGGGTGGTCGAGGTCCTTCAGCACCTGCGCCGTCTCGGAGCCCCGCTGGGTCGTACTGCCGAACACCTTCCAGGAGCGCGGACAGAACATACTCCGAGTTTCGTAATAAGCGTCGGGGGGGCGCCACCCCCGCCGACAGCCCCACATCGACCCCCGTCGCGGGCAGCCACCGCGCGCCGAAGGCCCTCCGACCCCCGTCGCGGCGCGACGACGATGCGACGTTGACCCCCCTCACGTCTATTAAGAAACCCAGAGTAAGATTAGCCTGGCGAGGGAGCCAATCCTCAGCAGCTTCATGTAGCGCTGGTGATGATGGGCCTCTTTATATGCACAGCCCGTGCGAGGGATTCGCCGAAACGAGCGGGGAGGCGCATGCGAAATGTTCAACTGGGGCTGCACGTGGAGCTTCCCAAAGGAACGCGACATGTGTAAAGGGTGCGCCAGCCTGCGCGGGGAAACGCATACGAACTGTACCACTGGGGCCGCAGGAAGGGCTCACGTGATGGGGTGTGCCGAAACGGGCGGAAGTACGCATCGAACTTCCCCACTGAGACCGTTGGTGGAGTATCCTATGAGGCAACGAAGCGTGTGAAGGGTGCACCGAATTGGGAGCCGATGCGCCGTACGTCGGCGCTCACTGCGACCGTAGGCGCAGCTCTCCATGAGGTTGCGATGCGTGTGAGGGGGTGCCAGATTGCAAGCGGGTGTGCCATTCGTCGGCGCCCAGTGAGACCCTAGGAGGGGTTCCCTATCGGGCCACACAACGTGATGTAATGGGTGTGCAGACTTGGGGCCGGTGCGCCAAACGTCGGCGCCTGCTGAGACAGTAGGTTGAGCTCACTATGAGGCCACGAGAAGAAGCAAGGGGTGTGCCGAATTGGGAGCAGGTGCGCCACACGTCGGCGCCAACTGATATCACCAGGTCGACATTCTAGGAAAAGTACCCACCAAAATTCCCACGGCGGCGACGAACAAATAAAAAACACTATGCATGGGGGGTCCCCCAATCTGGCGGCCAATGCCCCGGACCCTAAGGGTTACAACAAAACTGGCGGCGGCCGCACGCAAAAGCCAAAGCGGCTATATAAAAACGATGGCGGCGGACTCTGCGCACACGATATACACCAGTGTAGACATTAATAGACCTGGTGACCAAAGAGACCGTAAGAGGAGCTATCCGGCGTGTGAGCTTCAGGGGGAGGGGTGACCGGGGTGGCTCTGCCGGGGTAGGGGGAGGCTGGGAAGGGAAACGGGGCGAGTTCTGGTGGCGTGGGTTCCGGTGGCGTCGTGGGGGTGGGGGGTCCGGTACCCCGTCCCGCCTGTGGACAGGGGGAAATGGGGGCAGAACCGGGAGGGGGAGTCTGGCGGCTGGGGTGGCTCTGCTGGGGCAGGCGTACCCACCGGTCGGAAGAAGTAGGTAGAAACATGAAGTAGGAAGGCGGAAGAAGTAGATTGCGTTCGGGGCCGCCCCAAAAAAGCAACAGCAACAGCAATTACAAGAAGTAGATTACAAATTGTCGGGCCCTGTCTTAGCGGCGCGCAATAGCGCTAGGTCGCTCGGCCCCTCGCATGGCCCCTTCCCTCGCTGATTTCGGTTGTTCTGGCTTGTTTTCGTTTGTCCGTCGATCGCACTGGCAGCCTTTCGGTGGCTCGGCCGCTCGGCAGGCCCAATTCACTGGTTTTGTCTGCTTTTGTTTGTTTTCGCTTGCCCGTCGGCTGCACTGGTCGCCCCAGGCTCGCCCGCCGCCCCGCGGTCGCTTGGCCCCTCGGCTGGCCCCATTCCGCGGTTTTGTTTGTTTTTGTTTGTTTTCGCCGAGCCTGGGGCGACCAGTGCAGCCGACGGACAAGCGAAAACAAACAAGAACAAACAAAACCAATGAATTGGGCCAGCCGAGGGGCCGAGCGCCCGCGGTGCGGCGGGCGAGCCTGGGGCGACCAGCGCAGCCGACGGACAAGCGAAAACAAACAAGAACAAACAAAACCAATGAATTGGGCCAGCCGAGGGGCCGAGCGCCTGCGGGGCGGCGGGCGAGCCTGGGGCGACCAGTGCAGCCGACGGACAAGCGAAAACAAACAAGAACAAACAAAAGCCAATGAATTGGGCCAGCCGAGGGGCCGAGCGCCCGCGGGGCGGCGGGCGAGCCTGGGGCGACCAGCGCAGCCGACGGACAAGCGAAAACAAACAAAAACAAACAAAACCAATGAATGGGCCAGCCGAGGGGCCGAGCGACCGCGGGGCGGCGGGCGAGCCTGGGGCGACCAGCGCAGCCACGGACAAGCGAAAACAAACAAGAACAAACAAAACCAATGAATTGGGCCAGCAAGCCGAGCGAAAACAAACGGCCAGCCGAGGGGCCGAGCGACTGGGGCGACCAGCGCAGCCGACGGACAAGCGAAAACAAACAAAAACAAACAAAACCAATGAATTGGGCCAGCCGAGGGGCCGAGCGACCGCGGGGCGGCGGGCGAGCCTGGGGCGACCAGTGCAGCCGACGGACAAGCGAAAACAAACAAGAACAAACAAAACCAATGAATTGGGCCAGCCGAGGGGCCGAGCGCCCGCGGGGCGGCGGGCGAGCCTGGGGCGACCAGCGCAGCCGACGGACAAGCGAAAACAAACAAAAACAAACAAAACCAATGAATTGGGCCAGCCGAGGGGCCGAGCGACCGCGGGGCGGCGGGCGAGCCTGGGGCGACCAGTGCAGCCGACGGACAAGCGAAAACAAACAAAAACAAACAAAACCAATGAATTGGGCCAGCCGAGGGGCCGAGCGCCCGCGGGGCGGCGGGCGAGCCTGGGGCGACCAGTGCAGCCGACGGACAAGCGAAAACAAACAAAACAAACAAAACCAAATGAATGGGGCCAGCCGAGGGGCCGAGCGACCGCGGGGCGGCGGGCGAGCCTGGGGCGACCAGCGCAGCCGACGGACAAGCGAAAACAAACAAAACAAACAAAACCAATGAATTGGGCCAGCCGAGGGGCCGAGCGACCGCGGGGCGGCGGGCGAGCCTGGGGCGACCAGTGCAGCCGACGGACAAGCGAAAACAAACAGAACAAACAAAACCAATGAATTGGGCCAGCCGAGGGGCCGAGCGCCCGCGGGGCGGCGGGCGAGCCTGGGCGACCAGCGCAGCCGACGGACAAGCGAAACGAACAAACAAAACCAATGAATTGGGCCAGCCGAGGGGCCGAGCGCCGCGGGGCGGCGGGCGAGCCTGGGGCGACCAGCGCAGCCGACGGACAAGCGAAAACAAACAAAAACAAACAAAACCAATGAATTGGGCCAGCCGAGGGGCCGAGCGACCGCGGGGCGGCGGGCGAGCCTGGGGCGACCAGTGCAGCCGACGGACAAGCGAAGACAAACAAGAACAAACAAAACCAATGAACAAACAAAACCAATGAATTGGGCCAGCCGAGGGGCCGAGCGCCCGCGGGGCGGCGGGCGAGCCTGGGGCGACCAGCGCAGCCGACGGACAAGCGAAAACAAACAAAAACAAACAAAACCAATGAATTGGGCCAGCCGATGGGCCGAGCGACCGCGGGGCGGCGGGCGAGCCTGGGGCGACCAGTGCAGCCGACGGACAAGCGAAAACAAACAAAAACAAACAAAACCAATGAATTGGGCCAGCCGAGGGACCGAGCGCCCGCGGGACGGAGAGCGAGCCTGGGGCGACCAGCGCAGCCGACGGACAAGCGAAAACAAACAAAAACAAACAAAACCAATGAATTGGGCCAGCCGAGGGGCCGAGCGACCGCGGGGCGGCGGGCGAGCCTGGGGCGACCAGAGCAGCCGACGGACAAGCGAAAACAAACAAAAACAAACAAAACCAATGCATTTGGCCAGCCGAGGGGCCGAGCGACCGCGGGGCGGCGGGCGGGCCCGAGGCGACCAGTGCAGCCGACGGACAAGCGAAAAACAAACAGAAACAAAGAAAGCCAAGGAATGGGGCCAGCCGAGGGGCCGAGCGACCGATAGGCGGCGGGCGTGCGCAGGTCGACCAGTGCAGCCGACAGACAAGCGAAAACAAACAAAATACAAACAAAACCAGTGAATTGGGCCAGCCGAGGGGCCGAGCGACCGAACGCAGCGGGCGGGCCTGGGGCGACCAGCGCAGCCGACGGACAAGCGAAAACAAGCAACAACAAACAAAACCAATGCATTTGGCCAGCCGAGGGGCCGAGCGACCGCGGGGCGGCGGGCGAGCCTGGGGCGACCAGTGCAGCCGAAGGACAAGCGAAAACAAACAAAAACAAACAAAACCAGTGCATGGGGCCAGCCGAGGGGCCGAGCGACCGCGGGGCGGCGGGCGAGCCTGGGGCGACCAGTGCAGCCGACGGACAAGCGAAAAAAAAC